AATCTAGGGTTCTTACCAAGATGGTTTCATATACATAAGTGTGTAATGATACTGAGAGATGTAACGTCAAGAGTTGCAGATAAAATAACTCTCCTCATTTGTCTTTATGAATATCAATCTACAATCATTTTACTCTTACAACTCTTGAATTTCAATTAAGCTTCTTAATGAACTACCTAAATTTATCTTTGTTTTATATAGTAATGCTCTATGAATATGAATAAACACTTAGTTAATTTTGCTTACATGGTATGAGAGCCACAAGGTCTATGGGTCTTGTTCTCATTAATTTCTACCATCTAATCACATTAGATTTATTTCAACGCGGACTCAAGTTTCTGTCTTTCTCCTCTTTGATCGCCAAACTCAAAGCTCTTCTTTTTCAAGTTAGCACCTTTAAGAAGCTGAGTGAAAAAATTTAACTTTTAGTTTTCTCCAATCATCTCACGGTAAAAAATGCCTGGTTTAAATCGTGAAGTTAAGAAATCTACGGAAACTCCTGGGTTAATCACTTCTTCATGGATACACCAAAGTCACCAGTCCCGTTTTAACCATTGCGGAGTAGACGAGAACAAAGACCATAATATTATAGTATCCATTACAAACCCAATATTATCTCTTACATTAAACCCAAAGTCTATGTAATTTAGGGATTCGTATCAAGATAATTTCATATATAAGGTATAAATGTGTAATGACTCTCCTTATTTATCTTTATGAATATCAATCTACAATTATTTTATTCTTGATGATACTTGAAGCTTTTTTCTTTCCTTTTATGTTCTTCAATTCCAATAAACCTCCATAATGAGTTACCTCAATTTCTATCTTTATTTTCTATATCAATAAAGCTCTATGACCATGAATAAACGCATGTTTTGATTTGCTCATATTTGGGAAGTTTGAATAGCGCTTTAGAAATCTACTTTTTGGAGATACTATATGCGGATCCATTCCTTATGATTGATCATATACTAGTCATTTATTGAGAGGTCAAAAATTTTACCACTTTATTTTTTGGAACAGTTTTGACGAAATTTATTTATGTGTTCCGGCAAATTTGATAGACAAAAAATTACAATGGATATTGTTTCCTCGTACACGCTGAACAATTAGTAGTTTAATCAAAATTAATAATTATTATATTTTTCTATGAAGAAAATGGTTTAAAACAAATTATATTGTAGAAGAATTCAACAAATCAAATATAAAGAACTAATAGGTTTTGTGAACAAAAAAAAAAAAGAACTAATAGGTTTTTCAGCATCAGAAATTAAGCAAAAACAAACATTTTTTATGACACATTAGCGATACCAAAACGGACTTATTTCGAGTATAAAGTAAACAATTAAATGTTTTTATATATAAAAAAACAACCAGTTTTCTAATATTAAAAAAAAAACAATTTAAAAAAATATCATTTTTCAAGTGCCACTTTTCAAAAATACCACATTTTCAAAACTTTTGCAAAAATAAGATTTTTTCAAAAAAAAAATTATTATATCATTTATGTTTGGGTTAACTATGTTGTATTAAAGTTTAGTTTTGAGGGTTTAAGAGGTTTTAGGGGTCAAAACATTTTTTAAAGTTTCTAATTGAAGATAA